CAATTCCTTATCCACAAAATGGTCCATCTGTCAAATCCATGTCTTTGCAATTAGGAGACCAGGACGTCATGCGGGACAGTATGAAAGGCTTTGCACAAGGCCAGATGCACGACATCAGTTGCTCTTCCCTTGTCAATTGATGCTGTAAGTCCTAACCATATCGATCCTTTTGAACATTCTTACCACTAACACTTGCCTGCTGATGGTGTTTTCAGGTTTCCTGAGCATACAGGTAGCTTTGCAGCAGATCTCAAGCCTCGTGACTATTAGTGTGAAAGTGCCTACAGTTTAGTAGCCAAGTAGAAACTATGTATGTAGTTCACTCATGCTGCTCCAGGGACTTCATATGTACTAACAAACCCTCTTCCTCTAGCCACTTCTAATTCTGAGTTCAATTTTCAGACACCAAGAATAGCTACAGCAGTACAACTTAGAAAAAAACCTTAAATGTTTTTACATTACCATCAAGGCAGGAGTGTTGTAACTTAAACGAGTGAATAAAATAAAGATAAGAAAGGGAGAGGTGGCATATGTAAAGTTGTTCCAAAGAAGAAAAAGGATACACAAAGTTTTCCATAACTAATGTTACGTTGCTAAAAATGTTTCGAATTATACCTCGACCAGAAGCTGAAAAACAATTTTGGGAAAAGAAGCCAGGAAACTTACTCAAGTCCATGATAATGGCATCCAGCAGCTTTTTCAAAAGGCAAACCTCTGAGTTTTCGAGGACTAAGCTCTGGTGTCAAAAGGAATGCATTTTCACTGAAAGGAAAAAAATAGAGATCTATTTTAACTAGTCACAGTCAGGATAAATTATACTTCCGGAAGTCAGAAACAAATGCCATGACATAGGAAGACCAAACCAGCACGTCTTGTAGCTAAGGCCCTGGGCTACAGCATCAATGGATAATTAAAACTTTATTGAAGTAGGAATTAAGGTCAACTACCTAATACCTACTGAGCTATTATTATTACAGAAGCTCTTAGACATTTCAACCAGCTTAGAGGTCACTGCTCTGAATAATTTATCAATAAAAGCAGCCAACAATCACTCCATTTCACAATGGGACACCTGAGTAGTAGAATGAACTGAAAGCAACTGGGAACTGACCTCCCATTTCTCAGTCCGGTGCTATAATCAGTGAATTCCTTCCCTTTAGCTTCAAGTTGTCTCCTGTGATATTTGAATTCTAGCTAGTAACTCTCTGCAACTAAATCATGAATGTATTCCAAAGTATTTCAACAGAATAAGCCATAGCAAGACTGACAGAAAGAGCGTGCTGCCAGCATACCCTGTAAAGTCATACCCCATTTATCTCTAAAGAAGGGAAGAGATGAAGGCAAGATGTAGCAGGATCTGAAACTTACATGATGCTTCAAGTTTTATTCACATAGAATGTCTCTGCACCATTACCACTGGAAAAATTATCTGGGGAAAAACATCTGGGAAAGATGCGATAAGGAATCTAGCAAAATGGTCATTTAGACAGACTGTCAGCCAAAACTCTGATCTATCAAGCCTCTGTTTAAGCTCAAACATAGAAAACAAGTGAAAACACCTTTAATTCACCAGTCTCTCATAAAAGCTCTTCCTTCTGTTGATCAGGTAAATCTTTGGGACTGTAGTCAGTGTGCTTGAATGTCTACTGTGCAAAGCTGCTAATTATTCCAGAGAATCTAGTCCGAGCACCTGCCAAGGGGGCGAGCAGCTCCAAGTCCAGAGTTCTGCTGGGCACAATAGCAACAGCAGTCTGGTATGTCGGCAAGGGAATGGTTCACCATCTCCCAGACAACAATCTAGCTATTGATTTTCACAGGTTTTCTGGTTTCTTTTGGGACCAAGCAGAATACAGACATACAGTATAAGTCATTGGCACAACTTGTACCCTCCAAGCAAAACACACTTAATTTGCTTTATTATCTAGGATCTTGATTTTGGCTTCATACTTCCCTTAGATATCCAAGGCCTCTAAGTATTATTTGAGAGACCCACATTACAGTAATGTACTACAAAGCAAAGGTTTCATCATCATACTTTCTCATAGTAACTGGCAGAAGTGCAAGCACACCGGGGCAAAACTCCTCAAAATCAGACCTCACTCAGCTGTAGCTCAAAGCAACTCAAGAGAATCAAAGTATCCTATGCTATAAAGCTTCTCTGGAGGCTTTTGAAAAATCACGGATTAAAAGAACAACTTCTGTAGTGAACAAATGATTCACTTCTTTCCCACGCAACTAACTGGAACGAAAATATTCTGCATTATAACCAAAATCCTAAATCATCTGCAGTCATTAACTAACAACTCTGCAGAAGACTCTCAATCTTCACTGCCTATTTTCTAACTTGTTTCAATTCTCTGCTCAGAACATCTTTAGGTAGTTTCAAAACTCCAATAAGTATTTTATGAAGTCTCCAAAATCCTACAGAACCTTTCCTTCTCACAAGCTCTCTTAATTTATTACATATAAAGAAGTTTAAAGAAGGATCAAGGGCTGTATCCAATAATTCCATTATACCTTCTATTATTCAACACTAAAAAGGTCAACAAATGTAACTCTAGAGACTGTAAAGACTGTCTTGCTCACCTAGCAGTCTGTGACACATAGCACAGGTAGTATAGGCTTTGCTTCTACAAACACTATCTGACTCTTAAGTACATTGGCCTGAACTCGGACAGATGTTCAGATCCTGAAAATTACTCCATTAATTCCTTGTATCAACCTTCCT